ACACACACACACACACACACACACACACACACACACACACACACACAAAATGCCCTCTGCTCACAAAGCATACTTTGGTCATGCCACTATTGTTCCAGTTCAACAACTGGGTTAGCAGGCCTGGGGCCCCCCTGCAGCCCACTGGTTGCCGCAGACCACATCATTTAAACAATCTGGCTTTGCAGCCCAGCCAAACACAGAAATCAGAAAGGTGACAAAAGAGGAAAGAACGCAGCATAGAGTAGTAAAAAAGCACACGGAAGTTGGTACCACTGATGGAGATAGTCAGCAGAGGGAGGAGAAACACCCTCGTCTCATCTTAATTCATGATCTGGACAGATGGCTGCAATTTATCCACAAAAAAAGTTTCTATTGGCATAATGTATGATAATCCCAGTCATCGATTCAAAAAGCCTTAATCTGGCGTCTACTGAGAACTGCGTAGCCCGTGCACTCTTGAGTTAATGGAGTTCCCCAGCAGCAGACATGTCAGGGATTAACCCTGTGCTGTGCTGTATGACTGCATATCTGTTTACACAACACAGTTGAGGGACCTATATACTGGATTAACATCACCACCCCTTGCATCTGATTCCTGGTGTCAGTCATAGAATGTGGGGGTAAAATTGCCACCAGTTCTATGTAGACAAAAAGGAGATGGAGAATTGTTCCACATAGGAGGATCAGCGAGTGGAGCAAGGATTTTAAATACTGTGGGACAGTGTGCCAGCAAGCTGCAGATGTGCACAGTTTTCCGGCATCATCTGTGAATTCATAGTCTGCACAACATAACAGATTTGTTTATAATGGGCCCGTAGAGCGTCTTTAGCTTCTGTTCCGTGAGTATTCCCCCATGAAGCGGAATAGTTTAACCTTGTACAGTTAAATCTCATCCCGCGCATTTGATCGGAGCGCTAACAAGTGTTCACACAATGCAGCAGGCTACAAAGAATTTTCCATTTTGATATAATAATACAAAGAAATTGATTTTGTCTTGACATAATGGTGATGTAAAGGCTGCTGTGTGATGAATTAATGGTCAACCCTGTTTTCTTCTCCTTTTCTAGACATACTCCGGTCTCTTCTGTGTGGTCATAAATCCCTACAAAAACCTGCCCATCTACTCGGAGAACATCATTGAGATGTACAGGGGCAAGAAGAGGCACGAAATGCCCCCTCACATCTATGCCATCTCAGAGTCTGCGTACAGGTGCATGCTGCAAGGTAAGTCCGAGTGTCACCGCCTCTCATCTACCACAGTCCACCTCACATGCACGAAAAAAATATTTTTAATTCAATGCAGGCCTTCATACAGTCATTTTCTTCAAGCATCCGTCTCTATCAATCAATACAATCAATACAATCTTTCCCAGTGCATGACACTGCTGTCACCGGTGGCATCCAGTCTGCCCCAGTTGTCGCGTTTATATTTTTATTTTAGGAACGTACAATCTTGTAAGTGAAGGCAGTCCCCTTTCAGAATGATGTCTTCAAAGACCCTTGCCTGGTAGTTGGCAAGCTTCCAGGCTCTCTGAGCAGTGACTGACTGGGATCAGACCAGCGAGAACAGAGAGGGTGACCCCATTGTGCTCGACAATAGGTCCTTTGTGTGATTGCGAAGGCCGACCAGTGGGGGTGGTGACAGACTGGACAGTCCCGTCGGTCCTTTTCGGCCTTGCTTTCCCCGTGTTGGTACACAGAAGGAAGTTTCGGTAGTGTCAACAAGTAGCTTGATGATTCCTTTTTTCTTGTAGTTGTTCTTTCTAAGGTTTCTTTCTTAGGTTGTTGTGATGTTGATTGAACGACATTATCTCTTCACAGCCGATAATGTACAAGCACAGGAACGTAGTTTCAGCAGTAGCCCCGATGTAGCTGTTGTTGAACTCTGCCAGCTCGTCATTGAGTCCAGCTAGTTTCTTGTTGTCACCTCCTCCTCCTCCTCTTCTTCACACCCTCTATTCTCCACACGTTTCTACATGGTTGGACACAAACGCGGTGGGGCAGAGCTGGGAGACCCGTCTATTAGTAATGCGTTGAACATATTTAAGCGTTTTCCCTTTCCTTGAAGCAACGACCTCAAGCTTTTCAAAGGCTGCGTGTATTCACTGTATGTCTCGGAGTACACAAGGCTGATTGGTCATTTTGAATGCGCCGCTAACTCCAACCCATTTTTAGTCGTGGTCAGAGTTAACAGTGTTAATTCAAAATGAGGTTTGTAGGTTGGAGATTAGTGGAGGCCAGCTGCTGTTCAGCTGTGGCCCTGAGCATTTCAGCAACCCGGTGGGTATAACAATATCCAGCTGCATAGACTAGCACTGGTGTTTGTTTTTCTCCAAGTGGAAAAACCAGACATCATCACATTTCTTAGATATGGATGAAACTTTCAGGGTATGTAATTCTATATTGTTGCAATGACATACACTGTGGTGTAGTACATTCTCTGGAAAATCAATCAACAATTTATAGATAAAACTCAAAGACAGGAATGTCTGTTTTTGGCCCAGTATAATGCTGAAAGAATCGTCGCAAAACAGTCAACAATTTTGATAAACTCAAATAAAATGTAAGTCCCGCATTATATGTCACCATATTGCCCAACACCCTGTCCCTGTTATCTTACATTTGGGTGTTTAATATCAGACCTTTCAGACACCATGTTTAGACTTTGCAGTGTCAGCTGCCATCTGAACAACAAAGAACACTTGAGACAAATAGTTTGTTGCCGCTAATTTACGACCTTTGCATCCGAACAGATTGGCAAATCATATTTAATGCTGAAGGGTGTCTAAACCTCACAGGGGTCTGTTAATTACCTCAGCATTGCTGTGAAGCCAGTCACTACTCAGATGGGAGGTTAAATGAGGTGTTACTGAACAAAGACAGGGTGTGCAAGCAAACTTCTAGAACTTACTGCACATCTGTCCTTGATTAGCGGTCCAGATACTTTACATAATTGCCCTCACTGCTCAGCCGAGGTGAACTCACTGACGTACAAGAAGCTAATTTTATCACATTTGTTGTAAGGAAATGCTTGCTTGAATGAAAACATGTGTTGAAGGTCCGGTCATGTCAGCAACTGCGACGGTTTCCAAGTGGACATGCATCAACAGCAATGAAAAGTGTCCCACGTTGTGGTTTTGAAAAAGGGAGTCTTTGTTTCTGTTGACATGGTGTAAGACCCCCCCCCCCCTTCTAGAGCCACTCCCTGGTGTCTAATCAGGGTGTTAAGTCAAGTCCACCTAGATCCATCGTAGCTTGTTGAGTTTTTCTCTCTCATAGAGGTCCATTTTATCAACAATGAACAAAGCCCTTCTCATGTCGGCAGCATTACTGATATTGATAAAAGATTAAGGGAATTGTTTGAAGAATGCAAAGCATGTTCCAGGAAGTTTTCAGTTGTTCCC